GGTTTTCCTCTGGTTTCCCCTGATATTCCCCTGGTTTTCCTCTGGGTTTCCTCTGGGTTTCCTCTGTTTTTCCTCTGTTTTTCCTCTGTTTTTCCTCTGTTTTTCCTCTGGTTTTCCTCTGGTTTTCCTCTGGTTTTCCTCCCGTTTTCCTCTGGTTTACCCTGGATTTCCTCTGGTTTTCCTCTGGTTTTCCTCTGGTTTTCCTCTGGTTTTCCTCTGGTTTCCCCTGATATTCCCCTGGTTTTCCTCTGGGTTTCCTCTGGTTTTCATCCGCTTTTCATCTGGTTTTCCTCTGGTTTTCCTCTGGGTTTCCTCTGCTTTTTCTCTGGTTTCCTGTGGTTTTCCTTTGGTTTTCCGCAGTTTTTCCCCTGGTTTTCTTCTGGTTTTCCTCAGTTTTTCCCCTGGTTTTCTTCTGGTTTTCCTCAGTTTTTCCCCTGGTTTTCTTCTGGTTTTCCTCAGTTTTTCCCCTGGTTTTCTTCTGGTTTTCCTCCGGTTCTCCTCTCGTTTTCCTCCGGTTTTCCTCTGGTTTTCCTTTGGTTTTCCTCCGGTTTTCCTCTGGTTTTCTCTTCCCTTTGGCGGGTGGGAATGAGGGAGGGAAACCGACCCGAAGCCTGTTGTGGGAAGACACCAGAACTGTCACTGTGACAGCGCCTCAGCTTTTCTGGCCTTGTGGCTGTTGCTCACAGCGTTGGTGAGCAGCATGTGTTCCTCAGATGGCTGAGTGGCTTCTCCCATATGGTGACTGAAAATAAAGGCGAGTTGTGAGGACTGTGAGCGTGCTCATGTTTTATTACTGCGTTATTACACGCGGCAGAGCAAAATCCCATAACACTCCTCTTCTCAGAGGTTTTATTATCTACTTTTGCTGATTTGGGGAGGGATTTGAGACTCTAACATCTTTTTTCGGAGCTCTTTTGGGTGATTTTTAAAAAAATATATACATTTTTTAAATGGTTTGTTACCTTTTGACTCATATTCAACTCTTGGACGGGAAATTATTTTGTTTCCAGATAAGTTTCGGAGAAAGTCCGCCAGCTAAAATGAAAATGAAATTTCTTTTTTCCCCCCACATGACATGATGAAAAAACATGGAAGCCGACGGCGCCCATCTGGCTGTTCTGTGAGAAGGAGTCTCTTCTATTTGCATTTAATCAAATGATTCCCCTGAATCAATAAGCCATTTGTCATTTGGACAGTGTGTGTTTGTTTAAGGGCACGCTTCATTTAAAAGTAAAAAAGCAACGCAGTAATCACTCGTTTAAAACAGAATGGCACACCGCTTTTGAACAAACAGATTAACTTTGGCTGAAACCATCTGTTTTTTTGGTTTTGTTTTTTTAAAAAGCACATTAAACTGAAGTAGTCTCCAAATCTGTAATCCATCATCCAGCTATGGGCCAAACCTTCATGTGGCCCGGAGCTAAATCTGATTTAGGGACCGTCTATTTCTGCCAGTAGCACTAATTATTGATCACTCACACCCTCCCAGTGAGCTCACTTCTCCCTCTGATCTCACTTTAAATACTAGTAATAATAGTTTGGAAAGACTGCATGTGGGAACTTTCTGCTGGAGTTAGAGGATGGAAGAACATCTTTCAGCTGATATCTGGAGTAACAAAACGAGCTAAAGGGTAAAACGCAATTTGAACTAGGCTGGTTCCGATTCGGAGAAAATGCAGATTCAGTTTTTTAAGATCCAGTCCGATCCCACACAAGCATTAGCGTTAGCATTAGCATCTCCTAACCCACAGGTCTGTGTCCTAACCATTAAGTTGTTATCAGAGTAAATCCCTGTTCAACATGAGTCTGACAACTAAGTAAGTAGATAAATAACTTTAAACTTTAAAACAGGCTCTGATTGGCCGGGATCGGGATCGGATTGGAGGTGCAAAAAGCTGGATTGGGACATCCCTACTTTGAACCCGTCACCTGGTTTCTGATTTCATGCAAACATAATTTACAGAGCTAGAAAAATAAAAGGAGACAG